TTGCACTTACATATTGTTGCTCTTTTGTTAGTTTTGATTGCTTCTATTGTCCTCATTTGTAAGTTGCTTTGGATAAAAGCATCTGCTAAATGACTAAATGTAAATGTGATAAGTGGATTTAATATGGTATTAATTATTTGTTATAAATCATACTCTTAAAAGTTATAACCACAAATGCTTAAGTATTACAATTATTATAATTGCTGTTATGATTATTTATGAGATCATACAACATATTATAAGGTCTTTTTATAATGCATTATGCATTCTTTATAATGTCTTAAGAATACCCCTATAATGTATTATAAATACGTGCTTCATAGAAAGTGTTACCGACTTTATTTATTTATTTATTTTTAGATTAGAATACAATCCAATAATTATCAATTATATATTACATAATCTTGGTTTATTCAGAATCTGACAAAAGCAATGACTAATTTTTTTTTTTTAAAACAAGTATTTTGATACTAAAAAGAACTGCCATGTCGTGCCATGCCATTTGCTCAGGAATCAGACTAAATTGTTGAGCTGTATGGTTTTTGATTTATTAAAGGGTTTATTCATTGAAAAATGTTTCAAACCTATAACACTTTAGTTCATCTTTGAAGCACAAATTATATATTTTTAATAAAACCTGAGATTTTTGTCCCTCCATTGAATGCCTATTCCACCAAAGCTTCAAACATTATAAAAGTAAAATACATGTATTGTTTAATCCTATAAAGCCTACTGTATCATTTGATATGCAAATTTCTCTGAATTATTAACATGATCAAGACTTTGCTGAAAAACTGCTGTACACAATTTACTGCATGCCTTCTGTTGTCTGATTGATAATTTATTTTTTAGCTGAAAGTTCTTTTAGTGTATTTCTATATACGTTCACCGGGGACACGTCTTTTTGCTGTGACATCTTTACTGATTTATATAATTTAAATGTAAGAATAAATTGTGTTGTTAGTAATATTTCAAGATGAACATTTACTTAAGTGAAGCAATTTATTATTTTGATTTTTTGAAAATGTATGGATAATCATGTTAAAATTCCTACAGTCCTACAGCAACTCTGAAGCAGCTGCAGGAATTTATGACAAAGAGTGGTCATTGTGTGCATGTGACAACAATATCACAAATTCTCCACAAATGTGGCTTGTAGGGGAGGGTTGCAAGAAAAAAGCCACTCAAGAAAGGCCACATGCAGTCACGACTGAGCTTTGCCAAAACACACCTTGAAGATTCTGAGGCAGATGAGACTAAAATTTTATTATTTGGAAATCCAATACAGCTCACCATCCAAAACACAGCATTCCTACAGTAAAGCATGGAGGTGGTGATATCCTGTTATGAGGGTGTTTCTCTGTAGCAGGGACTGGAGCAATTGTGAGGATAGAAGGAAAAATGCATGGGGCAAAATACTGTCAAATTCTTGAGGAAAATCTGCTGCCCTCTGCCAGAAAGTTGTCAATGGGAAGAAGATTTGCCTTCCAACATGACAGTGACCAAAAGCACACAGCAAAACTGAGCATGCAGTGGTTGAAGGAGAAAAAGGTGAATGTCCTTGCATGGTCTAGTCAGAGCCCAGACTCAAACCCCACTGAAAATCTGTGGATTGACTTGAAGACTGCAGTCCACAAACGGTCACCATCAAATTTAACTGAACTTGAGCAGTTCTGCAAAGAAGAGTTTGCAAATATTGCAAAGTTTAGATGTGCAAAGTTAGTAGAGACGATACAAATCCCAACAGACTAAAGGCTGTAATTAAAGCAAAAGGTGGTTCAACTAAATACTGACACAAGGGGGTGGTCCTTTTTCCAACTCTGTGATTGTTTTTTTTTTTTTTCTGACATGTTAGTGTTATATGTTATATCTTTCACTTAGATGTTATAAGCTGCACTGGGTAAATACAAAAATATGGATGAAACAAAAACTGTCCATCTTCATTTCAGGCTGCAAAGCAACAAAAATGTGATTATTTTAAAGGGGGGTGATTCTTTTCTATACCCATGTTAGTAGTCTGCTATACTATTATAAATATCTCATTGATTTACTTTACAAGCTATCAGAATTTTATCTTATTGGCCATATTTTGGCATATTTTTGCTCAAATTAAAATCCTTATCAAATATGATACTTGGCAAAAAAACACATTCCATATGTCAGGTTTTACAGGGTTAATAATCGTGCGAAGAAACTAATTTAGGCTTTTATTTACATATAAACATTGATCAAAGCACATATATAGAGCACATTAAATATTGTAAATGGAAGCTCAAATGTGCCTGATTGCCATGCAGGAACAAATTTTATTGGAACTTCATTCTGTTTTCTCACCTGTGGCTGTTTTTTGTCTGGTGTCTGGTACATAACTATTCTGTTACACCAAATACACAAAATAATGATCTTTAAAATAGCATCATATGACCCCTTTAAGGAATAGTTGTTGGTTTTTTTTTTGACACTTAAATTTAGCATTTAGCTACATTTTCTACCATTACGCCACAACCCTAGCTCTACCAATTCTGGACTACAAAACAAGGTGTAACCACCATCACTTATGTACGGTCCAAACAAAAGGTGCTGAATCGGCAGACAAACACTTCTCTAGCGTTACCTTATCTGGTGCTGGCGCATCTGACATGGTACAAAATCTTCTCTTCTCTGCAAACAATATCTGTATTACTTGAATCCCTGCCATAAAGAAAGGCCACAGTTGGTCAACAGTGGATTTTTATTGTATTGAACAGGCTGTATTTAGACTCTTCTGGCCAAGAGTCTAAATACAGCCTGTTAGTGTGTGGGTACCAATACCTGTTGTGCTGCAAAACTAAATGGCTGTTCTGACTTTTGGTCACATTGATCAAGGAATTACTCTATTTATCGATCTAAATTTGATCAGCACTTTACCTTTTTTTTTTTTTTTCATTCATCTCTCTTATCATTGGTGCCTTGATCTATAAAGGCTGGCTGCTACATTTTAAAATAGTGGAACAAGACCTTACTTAAAGAGCTTTTACAAAAATAGGGCTTTTTGTGTGATTCTTAAATGCGTTTGATTGTTGCCTGTTTTTTCCTGCCTTACCATCTTTGTAATATTACTGATTTATTGTTGAATTGTTGTTTTTGTTCTGTGGCTTTTCTTTCTTGTGTGTGTGTGTGTTTTTATTTTTAATGAAATGTACTGAAGGACACATCTAATGGCTGCTCTTTTTTTCAGATGAGACTATGGTGATTAATGTGTTTTGTGGTGTGGTGTCTGGAGTTTTGTCGTCCTCTTTGGCAAATCCAACTGATGTGCTAAAGGTAATTAAAATCAAATCTTCATCTCCTTAAAAACCAATGACTACAAATGTTAGCATAATTCCGAACGTTTTAGATCTACATATAAATCATCTCTTAAAGGGGTCATATGACGTTGCTAAAAAGAACATTATTTTCTCCACGACATGGCGGAGGCGGCAACAATACTACAGCGAGAATAAAAGTTACGCCTTCTTTCTTTGTGTGAACATTTGGGCGGCGTTATGCAAATCTTCCTACATCGTGATGTAGATATGTGGGGGCGTGTTAGAACGAGCCGTTTTAGGTAGGCGTGGTTGACTCTTTTATTTGAGACTTTAGTCTTTGCAACTTTACAGATCTTCTTTATGCACCAAGAGCTTGTAACACTCCAAAGAGAAAGGAAAAATTGAAATCGCATCATTTGACCCCTTTAAAACATATCTGTTTTCTCAGGGTTATGAGAGGGGGAGGGGAAGGGATTTTATTTTAAGTCATGATGAATAAAGAATAAATTCATTTTTTCCCCCTGGTTTAATAGGGTACACTTGTAAGAAAATAGCAGTGGCTGGGACCGACTTTCAGTATCACCTTCACTTAAAACGATACAAACTAATCCTGTTTACATGAAATAAGTCTGCTCCTGAGCAGGTTTGAGCTAATGGACCTGTTGCTATGACAGCAACTCCAGGATGAGCTTCAAAGAACCAAACAATCCTGCATAATGTCAAATCATCAGCAATAAAATTCAGCTAACTGAGTAATCCACGTACAAAGAACAGACCCCTGAGCAGCAGATATGCTAAAATGCTTTTTTACCTTGCTGTGTCGGGGGAGTGCTGCAGGTGCGAGTGGTGAAAACACGGAATGAGTTTAGTTTATATGGACTCTGAATGAGCCAAGTTGAGTGGATTTGAGGAGGCAGCAGTGTGGATCTTAAGGCTTTAGCTAAAACGCAGAATGGAGTTTAATTTATTAGGGCATTCCTCAAGTGGAATGGATTTGACCGATGGCACTCTGAAAAGTGAACAGAACAGTAAACTGAATTAGAGATGGTAAAAGTGAGTGGGTCGAATATCATTGGTCTTAAAAACCACATACAATGGTTCTGATGTCCATGCTTTAGTATGTATGCTTGTGGCACTGTGTGCGCACTTGCATTAAATATGTTTCTGGCCTTAGCTTTAACCTCACTTTTAGTTTTTACAACACCGATCTCACCCGAGTTTGTTTTTTCTTATGTCCTGTTATTTCCTTCTGCTTTTCAGATTCGCATGCAGGCTCAAGGCAGTCTGTTACAGGGAAGCATGATGTCTAATTTCATCAACATTTACCAGACTGAAGGCACGCGAGGCCTGTGGAGGGTGAGTGCTTTCGTTATGTCTCATCTTACACATCGGTGGTGAGATTTTAAAATATGTGGCCATCAGTTGTTTGAATTATTCATTAGCATTCCAGCTTTGTAAATGCAACACATTATAGGATTTGCTTTAATACTGTGATGTCTTCATTGTTTTCAGGGTGTAATTCCTACCGCACAGAGGGCGGCCATCGTGGTGGGTGTAGAGCTGCCAGTCTATGACATCACCAAGAAGCATTTGATTCTTTCAGGCCTCATGGGAGACACAGTGTTCACTCATTTCATGTGAGCGTCTCTACCAGTACTTGTTTTGTTGATTCAAAATTTGATTTATTAATGAGGCACAAACGTTGACTTCACGAGGAACGTGATCCATATTGTTTCTTCTGTTTATTTAGTTCCAGTTTCACGTGTGGTCTGGCAGGTGCTTTAGCCTCCAACCCAGTGGATGTGGTGAGGACACGTATGATGAATCAACGTGTGCTCGCAGGTAACCCTCTGTACAAGGGTACTCTGGACGGACTCATGCAGACCTGGAAAAACGAAGGATTTTTTGCTCTCTATAAAGGCTTCTGGCCCAACTGGCTGCGTCTAGGGCCCTGGAACATAATTGTATCCTTTGACAATAAAATATGTTTTGATTTAATTTTCATATTTTGACTTCAAAAAATGTCCTTGGTTTTGTAATGTTTGCATAGTCCAACCACTAGCGGTCAGCATATTACAACATGAAGTTGTATAGCGTGTCAAATTTGCCCCTCTTTGGGTGTGAGCAAAAAAATTTTTTTAAATGCCTTGTTTAACTTTAAATGCAAATTAGCTGCTGCTTTTCTGGAAAGTGGGCGGAGCCTTTACAACTTGCACTTCAGATAGTCCGTCAACAACAAAATCTCACACAGCCAGAATGTCAAAAATTATTTATGAAATGTGCAGACGGTGATGACGTTTTTGGAATAATTTAAAACTAATGACATAGCTCTGTGAATAGAGGCAGAGACAGTGGTAACTTTAGCCACATTAGATGTACAGCATGCTAACAAGCACATCCGGAAATGTGATTTGGAAATATTCCGAAAATATAAAGCGATTCTTTCTTGTTCTCGATATGATGTTGGAGCATGAACATATAGTCAATGAATGAATTGACTATACAGAGTCTGTTATGGTCGTCTTGTGATCCTTGACTTAAGTTTCAGTTCTTCATCACCTTTGAGCAGCTGAAGAAGCTTTCATTGTAGAGTTTGTGACTTCCCTGAGCTGTGTGCATGTGTCTGGGGCTTCTGTCCTTCAGCATTTACCATCCCTTCTCCGTCACACACCTATAAGTATTTTTATTTAAGAACGAACATGTATTTTGTTCTCATTTGCATTGTACATACTTGACCTATTTAAACACACTTGTTTTTGCACCTAAATGCTTTGTGTTTCACTCCTGGCAGCTATGTTGTCCGTCACCGCCATGTTCTCAGGCCCAGTGGTGTTTTCATCATATATGCTTGGTCAGCTAGGAGCAGCACTGGTGTAAATTTGAGGTAAAGGGCTATAGCGAAAACTGGAAACCACGAGGCATAGTTTCTCCACACTGGCTTGAGAGTTTGAAATTATAGCATAAGTTACTAAAAACACATCCGCCATGTAGGGGATGTAAAGCAATAGTTTAGTGTAGAACTGAATGTAGTTGGTGAATATAAGCAGGAATCTTTGAGGTCCACGCACTCCAAATTAGACATTGTCCTTGTAATTTAATATGTAAACACAGCTTGTGCAGTGATAATGTATTTTGCTTCATCTGTAGACTGCAGATATGATCGAAATTGCCCACGTTGCAAACTTGTATGCAGCCCAAATTAATACCAAAGGAACTAGTAAAGGGAGATGTCCTGGATCCTGGATCTTTGAGCTCAGTGGGGCTTATTCATAAAACATGAGCCAATTTCAGTGTAGCCTAAGTCTGTTCTTGCGCAAGTTGTCGCATTTAATTCAAAATTGCTCAGAAATTGTTACGCTTGTTTCATAAGGCCCAATGTGCGCAAAAAGCTTCTTTTATCCCATATTATGTCAAGGTCCTCTGAAAAGCTCCATGAAAGTGGGTTAGAAGTTTATGCCTGAACATGCGCAGAATTCTAAGCACTTGTGACATTGCACAAGTTTTTATTTTACTTTTTTCAGTGACGTCTTTATTGCCATGTACATTTGCATGTGTGTGTAGTGTGTGTGTGTGTGTGTGCTTGTGTTCTGAGAAGCACATGTAAAATGTCAAATATTTTGGCAGCCGTCAAAATGTGTAAATACTGCTACTGTACGATAGAATAAAATATTAGCACATAGTTTTTTGTTTGTTTGTTAATTTTCAACCAGATTTTGTGGAAAAGGGTGTCATTTGCATTTTTATTGCTTGCCTCTTTGCCAAAGTGTACGTGTATTAAACCAGAACTGCACTGATGTTGCTGGTTTTGAAAAGTGACGCATTATTATTGTTATTATTGGGAAAGTACTGTTACATATTCATCATTGTATGTCATCATATTTCAAGCCTTACCACTTCCTGCTTTTATATTTATGCCTTTGCCTGATTTTATGGTGTGCTAGCTAAACATGAAGTGTTGTACTTCTGCTATAATTTACTGTCTATATTGTTCATAACCTTTAACATGCAAATCAAACTGTATTGCAAACATTCTTGCTTAAGTTATATGGACAAGCTGTTCTTCATATAACTTTAAGGGGACACGTTTAAAAGGTTTAATGTATGTAATGCTTGGGTTATTCAGGGGTTTTCATGTTCGTTATACTTGCTTTTTCCCAAACTTTGGCTTTTGCTAGAATGGTGACTACAGCATGGTGCATGATATATTCCTCTCTAGATAACTTTTAAAAATACTTATTTCATTATGTAGCAAAGACCAAGAACCACATTAACCCATGTGCCAGTGTTTTTACTTTAGTTTACTGTTAGTCACTCACAGATCATAAGGATGAGAACCTCTTATGCTATATGTTATGCTCCCTCAGTTGTTTTTGTTTGTTTGTTTTTTGCTCAATTATAATTTTTTTTTATACTGTTTTATTTATGCTTTTATTATATGAAAGGTTCTTTTGTGTAGAGGTACTTTAAATTTGTGGGGTGTTCGTTTGGATGTATAATTGAAATCAGGATGAATTTTCTGATAATACTGTTGTACAATGAGGGAAATTGTAGAATTTATTACCCAAATACATTTGATAAATGATAAATTTGTGGGGTGTTCGTTTGGATGTATAATTGAAATCAGGATTAATTTTCTGACAATACTGTTGTACAATGAGGGAAATTGTAGAATTTATTACCCAAATACATTTGATAAATGAGATAATGAAAATGTGCAGAATTAAAATGGGCATATACACACACCTATTTGGAAATCGAGTATTGAACAGTAAATAACATATCATGTAATGGCTTTAATCCCCAGCACAGCCATTTTGTTTTATTTCCCAACTTGCAGCAAACCCATTAATACATTATATAATTGCTTGCAATTGCCAATTTCTTTGTGATCCACTCTTTTGGTTAAGTGTCTTTGGTGTGAACAAACATTATTTATTATGATCTGTTGCTTGAATAGACAATGAATTGTATCAAGAATGCCTTTTTTCTTTTGTGGAAGTTTTTTTTTTGTGTGTCTGTTTTTTGGGCTGTTTTTTTGTGTAATGTAACCGTGCACCCTGACAATAAATACAATGTTCACTGAAAGTTGCTTGTTATAGTTCCCATTTAGTCCCATTGAGGCGTAGGAGCAAACAACGGTATGACTTGTTCAACAACAACATCATACGATTCTTTAATGCATGAGTTGTTAATGCAGTTTATGAGGTCACAGGCATTGGATTAAACAAAAGTGTGATTCATTTTAATGATAACATCATTCTGCAAACAGGCAATTGAAGAAACAATGCACTTACATGCTAAGGGTTTAGCCTGCTCCTGTGTTCACAAATCATTTTATCTTACCAATCACTAAGAGTTGCCATGAATAGCAGAAGAAATCCTTAGGTAAGAGTTTCCTCTTAAAACCTGTTCACAAAGCTGCTGAGACCAACTTTTACTAAGGAATGGGGAGAATTCTTAAGCTAAGAGAAAGGGTGGGGTTGACCTCGTTGCTATGGATGATGTCAACAAGCTTACTATTTCCACAGTGATTGGCTGATAGGGGATGGGTCTCTGTCAGTGATTTAATCAGAAATATGGTAGACCAAGGTGACGTTACTATATTCAAATAAAGATTTTAAAATAAAAATGTTGCCATATTCAGATAGTTTTTTTTTTTTTTTTTAATATAGGTGAAATGTCACTACTTAAATATATGTTCAGCTAATTGTCAGCCTCTTACATGTCTGCATCTCGGAAACAATACACAGATATGCATATAGGCAGCCTTTTAATTAACAAACTAGAATAATCATGGCTGATAGGAAGACGTGCAAACGTAAAAGAAATCTGAACTGGATGCAATAACAGCTGTTAATTCTTGCCCAACTTATACATGAAAAGAAGGAAATTATCATAAAATGTTTCTAAAATGTTTGTTCCGAGGCTTTTAGGATTGTTTGTGATTTTGTCTTAGTGACTACCTCTAACTTTTCAGATATAGAAGCTGAATTTAGTTCTAAAATACTTTGTAAAGTATTCCTAAAAGTCCTAAAATTAGGACTGACACATCCATTATTTTTAAGAGTTTATCCTATATTGGAAAGTTAGAAGTTAGTTTTAACCTTAAGATGTTTTGTGAATACGGGCCCAGATCTTCAACCCAGATAAGACTTACGCCTACATGCCGAGTTTAAATCACAAATAACTAGTGTACAATCTGAAGAACAGAAATATTAGTTTAGTTAATATAAATTAAAAAATACCATGCCGTGATTTGTGGGACTTGACACCATGGTATTACCATGGATATCTGGGCATTTGCTGTGGCGTTCCTTTATTACCTTGTAAGGATAGGCATGCACAAAGGTGCGAACATATGCATTGCATAGGGGGTGCCATTTTGCCAAAATTATTCTGTGAAAATCATCTTTAATAAAAATTTATAAATAATCAAAAGCTCATTTGTTAAAATATTTAACTTTTGTTTAGCATTTTAAATGAATTAAAAAATGCATTTTATTTTCAAGTGTACACAACTGCTCTCCCTTCGACAATACTGTTACAGACAGTCACACGCGCAGAACAGAAAAAGACAGGGAAAATGAAAAATTATGCATTAAAATGAGGACAGCAAGTCCAAGTGAACAAACATAAATTGGTAAGCTTAACCTATCAAAAATAAATAAATAAAAAAAGTGGTATGTTTGTGAATAAATGTTCGATTTACATTCAAGAGAAACCGAGGAGATTCTTAACAGAGATGCAAAATAGTCAAATTTGACCACAAAAAAAAAAAACATTCAAAATAGGTCAATTGTTTAATTCATGTAGATCCAATGAGTCTTTAAAAACTTTTGCTACTTCATACTAAAGTACAAAACTGTGCTGAAGTTTGACAAAGTTATTTTTAAATGTCTAAATATAAATCCAAAAGCAAAACAAGTGAAAAGAACTATATTAGGGCATGGGAATGGCTAATGAGCCAATGAGTGATCCTCTGCAGCCATGGTTATAGTGGTAATATCATGTCATTTTCATTTTAAAAGTGTTTGTTTTCCACCAAGTGGCAGACATCTTCCACTATAAAAAAAGAAAAATGTGTATTATTTGCCTGTGGATTTATGCATATAATGATTTAATGATTACATTACACGTTGCATATTGCATGTTTATTTTGTCTTGTGTTTTTTTGGCTTTTTTTCTTTTTTCACTATGGACAATCCTTCTTTTTTGTTAATTGGCCTTGAACAAGGGAATCGTTCCTTCAAGGAACACTTAGCACTTAGGTTCTGGCGAACCTATCTATCTTCCTGGATGATGCCTCTGCTAATTTCTGCATGTCAGCCTGAACACCACCACAAGAAGCAGTTGTCCGGGGAAGGCCCTCGGAGGAGCTTCACTGAATTTGTGGAGTGGGTGCTGGCCAGTCCCACTCTTAACACAGTGCCCAGCCCAGTACCACTCCTCTGCGAGAAGCGACAACATGAGCCCACCGCAAATGGAGAGAGCACCTCAGCCACGATTTTGGAGCCCACGCCAGGTAGGGGCGATCGAGCCTGACATCACATCAGAGCCTGAGAGGAACCCGTTTGACCAGGTGTGTGAGCCGGCTGTATCATCCATCACCATGGGAGTCCTTGTGGAGTACGAGGGGATGGAAACAAGCCCTGCCCACCCTAAGAGTGAGTACCGGCTGGATTTAATGGACAGTTTGTGTGGAGAGATGAATTCCCTGTGTCCCTTCATTATGCCCAAATGTGATTCATCTTCAGTCGTGCTAACCCTACCCAGCCTCCCTCTCCCACCATCTCTCGAATCAGCCATTTGGAATGCTTTGTTTCTTGTTTTTGCATTTTTCTTCAATCTCCTACTCAGTCCTCATCCACTCCTTCCACCCAGTCCTCGCTGTCCCATCAGCCCCTCTGTACCACCTCAGCCTACTCTCAGTGGCGTGAATTCACCACCTTGGGACTGCTGGGAGCCATCTCCTCCTGGGCGTGAGGAGCTCGTGGCTCTGCCTCAGAGCATGTCTTTCCACCTCGTCCTGTCGCCCTGGCTCCTGTGCCTGCACTCCTTACTCCCTCGACTCCAGCAGTGACCATCGGGCACTTGGCCTCACCAGGCTCCCTTGGTACGTCGGCTCCACCTGGGTCAGACTTTGCCACAGACTTGTGGGCCGTTCACTGCCTTCCGGCCCTCCACCCCTCCGATTTTGGCTAGCTCCACCCTTCCTCAGGCTCCACCTCCACCACTCCAGTTCAACCTCTGCCCTCTGGATCACTGCTTCCACCTCGGTGGGTCATCACTGCAGCTCCGTTGCGTCTTTGGTCTCGCTACGCTTCTTCAGCTCTCCAGCTAGGCGGTGGGCTCTGTCTCCAGTGTCGCCATCGTCTTCGGTCATCTCCATGGTGTCATCGAGTCAACTTCCTGCATGGCTCCTCCCTCCAGCAACGCCGATGTGGATTGCAGCCCTGGATGTGCACAGGGATACCATCTGCCCTTCCTTGTTCAAGGTCACCCCTTGGATTACTCCACCTTCTGCACCACCCTGGACGTTTTTGTTTGGCCCTCCTAAGCCTCCATCCATCTGTCGGCATGAGGTCATGCCTTCTTGAAGGGGACGTACTCTCACTTAGTTTGGACTTTGTTTCAGTTTGCACATTCTCCCTTTTGCGTTGGTTGTCATGGTTATTGATTTGATTTTGTCCTTTAGTTCAGGTGTGTGTTGTTAATTATCCTCATTTGCTTGTATACTTAAAGTCCCCCTGTAGTGAAAATCAAGTTTTTTATGTTGTTTATTTGTCTATGTGGTGTTTTTAATATGCTTTTAGACAA